TGGATGAATAAACAAGTAGGACAGTTTGAGTCAGACCATCAAAAATGAAAAGGAGTTAAGTCTACTTATTTCCCTTTGATATTTGTCCCTGGGGGGACCCACAAGAGGATCCATTATAACTTAGATTTTACACACTTACAAGGAAGTGACTGGACAAGTATAATGAATAGTTCAGAATTCCCTCCAGAGAAAAAAGCTTTTTTGGTCTTTACCTAAACTACACCTATTCTACATGAAATGGTCTACAGGTTTTCCTTTCACCTCCAAAAGTCCACACAAAAGCTTTTTTAACAAGATATTCACTGCCACTGCATTAGTAAAAATTTCCTTCTTCTGGAAGAGAATCTGCATTCAGGACAAATTACACAGAACCAGAAGCTATGGAGGATAAGAAAAGAAAATCACTTGTAATAGCTCTTCAAATTCAAATGGGCAATGCAAACAATCATAGCACGTACATGCTCCAGTTCTGTTAGGGAAAAAAAATGCTGAAAGAAACTATATGGCAATCCTGGGAGAGAGGACACATAATTTACAAAGAAAAAATGTACAGTTTTATGGCCATGAGGACAGCAGCACTGAAAATGAACACCCTGCCACAAGTTCATTCTTCTTTTAAGTGCTGCCAATCCATATCTCCATCGAAATTTTAAAGGACACCCATGTTGTCTCAGAGGAAACAGTAGAAAAAATATACAGCCCAAAAATAAGCCACATATTATTTTAAGGTTGGGAGGTTATTGTTGTAAGTCCCTTCACAGAAGAAATGCTATGAATGTGAGTACAACCTGCCCAACTAGCAACAATCACCTGTTTATTTCCTACCAAATCACAAACAAAGTACAAAAAGGAAGAAAACTTTTTTTAAACACTGCATTTAATAAAGTTTTAAAAAGATGCTACTCAGAAACTATATTTAAATTAAACTTGATTATAGGTTAACAAAGAATACTCACAACAGTGATGTATGTGTACATGAAAAAGAAAATCTTTCCCCATAGATCCTGTGGCTTTCCTAATGAGATACAAACTCAGCCACATATAACAAGGCAAATAAGGCTCACTGGAGACAAAATAAAACATGCCCAGAAAGGGAAAAGTCTGCATATAAGCATGTAGCACAAAGCAGGTAACTTGCCACAAAAATTCTGTTGTGTTTAATTTATAGTCTGTATTTTCCATACAGTATCAGTAAATAAGGAAATGAGGTTTTGGCTATATTTGCATCAAACATGCCAGCTATTTGTCAGGAAATATCAAAAAATCATATGCTCAACTTACAGAATCAAATTTCCATCCATAAAAAATGAAATTACAGCACAGAGCAATAGGCTGCTTTTTTAAGCACTGGAAGTAACACAGTTTGATTTTTCACTCATTAGTGCCCTAGATTTACTAGGAGATTTTTTCCCATAGACTGATTTCTAAATGTTCTCTCCCATCACTACTAAGAGAGGAATTTATGTTGTAACCCCTGCCCTCATCAGGGAAGTTACAGGTCTTTTTCCTACTTACCTAACAACAGAATCAGAACTCACCAGATTTCACTCATTGTTGTGATTGTGCCTGTTAAAAAGGTATAAATCTGGCCAGTTTAAAAAAATACTAATAAAGAAACAGACTAACAGAGAAACAAAAGCGTTTATATGCATATAAAAATGTTCCTTATTAATCAGGATAAAACACAGAGCACTTAGCAGAAAAGAATAACAGAATTTGAAGAAGTACCCATGCATAATTTTGGGATGACAAGCAGAAAGTAGGTCTGAGTTCAAGTAAACACCATAGAGAGTTGGCATCAGCATGAAGCCACTGTACATTTGCAGTTACTTTTTCATTTCTCTTTTACATTCCCTCAGTGTGCAACAGAAAGGAATTTTGGTGAATGCTCCCTGACAAAATCTAGAGCAGGATCTCAGTGTCTGGAGAAGCAGATATTGAGGGTCTAGCCAGCTAGAAAAACTTCACTACAAAACTTGACAAAGTGACACCAGAGGAAAGTGATGGAGTGATCAGGCAAAACAAAAGAAGCTGAGAAGCCAGAACCAACACATGGTTTCTGTACCAGGGATGCTGAGGATTGGGAGATCTGAGTTGGGGCTCCATCCTGCCCTGACAGGCTGACAAACCCTTCCTATTTCCCAAATACTCCAAGTACTGAGCCATAAGCCAAACAGGAGAACGGCAATTTTGAGAACATCTGTTTACCTGTGCTTAAAAACCTAACATTTTCAGCTTAAAAAAAAAATTCTGATCACATTTAAAATTTGGAAGTTATAACAAAACCATTTTCAGAATGCAGTATTCAAAATGCTATGAATCAAATTATCTTTTTATTTACATCTGTCATGCACCATCATGTCCTGGGGATGCTTTGACACTGGCACAACTGCAGAACATTATGACAAACCACAACATTCCAGAGTATGTACTTTGTCTCACTGGGGAAAAATTAAAATATAGTTGCTCTGGTTCTAACTCACACCAGATTTCACTCCTTCTGTAAATGAGTAAACAAAACTGTATCGATCTTGGCTGTTACATCAGTCAAGAGCTTTGATATTTCACAAGGGGCCCACACTTATAAACAAAAGAGGGGAAAAAACCCATATAATCTGTCAGCTTGGCTATCAAAAGAGCTACCTCAAGTTTCTCTGGTTTGGGGAGGTATTTCAATATTTCCTAGTACAACAAAACATGATGGAAGAAAAGTCCAAAGCACCTAAGTTTGGGTCCAGGCTTATATGACACTAGACTATGACACAGATGCTCGATCCCAGCCCTTCACTTCCACCAGTCCTGAGCTTCTATTACATTTTTGTAATGATCCCCTTCAAACTTGAATGATGAAAGTGCACATTTTGCAAATGACACCTAAGCCAATCTGCCCCATCTGCATGAATGACAGCAAATGATTTCACTCTTTAGGCATTCAAAATAAAATGCACATGCGGCAAATTCCAAGCTGGCAGGAAAATCCAGTCATTAAAAAAGTGATTTGTTTTCTAGAATTGCAAACACAAAGGCTCCATTTATTTCCCATCCCATAAAGAAAATGAACGGTTATATTTTTTTTAAACAACCACAGCCCGGACATATTGGAAATGTTTTAATTTCAAAAATACTAACTGGCAAATTAGAGTCTAAATAGCTTTTCTAAAGTGGTACCATTTTATACACAGTTTTCAGATTTATTTCATCACTTTGCCCTGCAGGAAAAGGTTTTATCATCTTCTACATAAACTGTAATGATGCCTATTTGTTGCTGGTGTCACTAAATTTAAGAAGAAACCTAAGATACATGAATTTTAAATAAGATTACACTCATTAACAAGAAAATATATCATACATTATGGGAGCCCCAAAAAATCTACATTTCTATTAAATAAGATATTTATTGTCTCTGTCTTTCCTACTTTCTCTTCATAAAACACAAAAATGGAAACAGACCAGCAAATTAAGAAAATAGCAAACATAATTGATCTAGCCCCATCCTAAGAAAGCTTGCAACCATGATCAACTTTACACTAAATGAGCTGCTTAATCGGACTCATCAGGACTATTCCCTATACAAAATGTAAGCACATGCATCATTCGTTCCAGGATCATGATTATGTAAGGGTCATTTGTAATGAAAATAAAAGTACCTCCTTTTTTTTCCCCAAAACTTCTCAATCTGCACTTATTTTTGTAGCTATAGCAGCATCTGGTGGACAAATAGCAAAATGAACATCTGGCATATAATAAAAATATATGTATTTTAAAATAAAAATTGCTTTAATTGCTTTTGTTTTGTTTTTTTTTTTAATTAAAAAGAAAAAAGAAAACACAAAAAAACCCAGTTTAGATAATCCTTAATAACTTTAAAGTTATTACATCTCTTTTGATCCTTACCTTTTCCTCCCTCATTTGACCTCTCAGGTAAGTGTTTGTGTACTATGAAGTGCTGGTCATAGTCTACCAGCGAACACAGGCCCACTTTGACAAAAATGTACAAATACCCCATAAATACTAAGGTTGCACAGTTAAGTAGTCAAAAAAATTAGAACCTATCATAAATGAAGTTTTAAAGTTATAGTTAAGAGAACAAAACAAACTCCTGACAGTTTTCTCTAACAGAATCAAAGCCTAAGAAGAACTCAGATCCCCAAAATAACAACCGAAGGGCAAGGTAGCAAGCTAGGGTGGCTGATAGACATTTTTCCTGCTTCACTCCTCTCCTCTATGCTTTGTTCTGACTTTGATGTAATTGCTCTCTCCTCTTCCATATTCCTTTTACTAAAATAGCTGCCTTATAGGAATAGCCATTTAGAACTGCAAAAAAAAGTATTTAACGATAAGAATCCAATACAGCTGTAACTGTATTTGTTAAAATTGCTCACTGCTGAAGTTGGCTTGAAGTGAATCCTAAAAGGGCTGGAAACATATGAATATATTGTTTAAAATCACAACTTTCTCCTCCAAGTGAAAGAGGAGTCAACAAGGAGAGGTGCTATGCTGGATCTTGTCCTCACTGACAGGGGCGTGCTGCTGGGGAATGTGAAGCATAAGGGCAGCTTTGGCTGCAGTGACCATGAAATGGTGGATTTCAAGATCCTTAGGGCAGCCAGGAGGATGAACAGCAAGCTGGTTTCCCCAGATTTCAGGTAAGAGGATTTGTATCTCTTCATTGATCTGCCTGGGAGAGTAACACAGAATAAAGCCCCAGAGGAAAGACACATCCAAGAAAGATGATTACTAGTCAAGGATCACCTTCTCTAAGCTTCAGAGCAATGCATTGCAAAAAATAGGAAGTTGGGCAAAAACATCAGTATACCTGCATGGATAAGCAGCTCCTTGACAAATTGCAAAATAAAAGAGAACCCTGTAGAGGGCAGGTACTTTCATACTTACTAGCAAAAAAGCTGTCACAGCATGCGTCGCAGTTGAGACAGCCACAATACACAGAGTATCATCATACAATCTCAGAAAGCATCAACCCATTCAGAGTAACACCATACCACATCAGAAGGCTTCAAGCATCTGCTCATAAAGAGCAACATCATCCCACTTCAGAAGGCTGCAAGCATCAGCCCTTCTTGTCCTTTAGCCCAGCCTTTTATACCCCTCACGTTGATGCACTGCACCTGAGTGCCCTCTGTTCCCTTTGTGGTTGGTCAGAGCCCCTGGGCACTCCATGGCTCATTGCTGTCAGCGCTGCTCACCTGCTGCTCACAGCTGCTCCCACTGGGGATGAGGCTCGACCACAGCCCCACTCCCAAATACCACAAATTATGCACCTACAGAAAGCAGCATATTCAACACACAACCACACACAAACAATATTCTGAATTTACATGGATCAGCAGCTTGATTTAAATATTGCTTTTGCTAACAAACTCAATGCCCCCGAAGCTCCAAAATGGGGGCCTTGACAAAACCTCCTTGGAGTTCATTACTGCTGTTTGCATTTTACACAGCAAGTGTAACTACTCCAGCTCCACAAATAATAACAGGAGGTAGTGTCATATTAGACATTCTGAGAGAAATTCAAAGAAATTTTGGTGAGAAGAGTCAGGGTTCTGGATCCAACCAAAGTATCTGTGGAAGACACCTGCAGCCATCCACCATCCAATCATTGATTGGAATGTTGTACACACCAAGTTTTATCAACTGGTCGCTTTCAGTGACTTTAAAAGCCTTGACATAAACATGTATGAGACTTGCATTTCTTACTTGTAGAAGACACCTCTGAGGGGCTGAAAAGTTGCAAGCATAGACAGGAAATTAACTTGGAAACCAAAAAGAAGCAATCCAATGCAAACATCTCTGTACCTGTACATAAGCCATGTACAACAAGCCTTGATAGGGGTAGTATTTTTCAGTTAACCAGGTAGTATAATCAACAGGCAACGTTTTGGGCACAAAGCTCCCCCTCCTCTCATGAGTATGAAGTAGGAAGAACACTTTTGAAGACTAAACACAAATTACTGCTGTAACTGGGATGCTAATCACATGTGCTAAGAAGGTATTCCTCATGTAAGGAGTATTGGTGCCTGTCTAGAAGGCGCTAGATTAATATGAGAAAAAGGCTGTTATATGCCAAGAGGGAAGTCTGAGGTGTGTTTTATTCTGTGGAATACGAAGTGGCTAACAGGATGGGAAAAAAAAATTGTCACACCTCATTTCACCCCTAGCATGGTGCACTTAGCTGGGCTGCACTTGCAAGCTGCATTTCCCCAACTGGCCTTCATGAGTCCCTGGAAGCTTTTACTACTTCACCAGCACATCCAGGTGTCCAGCTCCCGTGTAACCCTGCCAGAGGCAAGACCTGCTGCCCTTGGCCTTGTTGCTCTCGCGTCCGAGAGCTCTGCCAATGTCCATGATGTGTTTTACAATAGACACACACGGGCTGTAGAAGCTGTGGGTTCTTCCTTCTTCCTTCCTGAGCACTCTCTGCCTTCTGTCCGGCAATGGAGCCAAGCCAGACTTAGATGTGAAGGGTGCCAGGGGCAGACTGCTTAAATGTAATTTTAAACTTGTTTTATTTTCACGTACAAATTCCGTATCCAGCGCCCTCCACGGGCGCGGATTGAAGCTGGATGCCGCCGGTCCCCGCCCACAAGCGGGCGGAGACGGGGCCGCGGCTTCAGGGCTTCCGCCCGGCCGGGGGCGGAGCCGCCTCGGTGCTCCCGCCCTTCCCGGATCCCGACATGGCGGAGTATTCCTGCGTCAAATCCACCAAGCTCGTCCTCAAAGGGTCGAAAGAGAAGAGGTGAGGAGCGGGCTGCCCGCCGCCCCTGCCCCGCGCTGCGGCGGGGCCGGTGTGGGAGGCTGGGCAGGGATGAGGCCGGGCCAGCCCTCACCTCCGGCTGCTCCCGCAGGGCCCGGGCGGGACAAGGGCCGCCTCGGCGGCTCGTTCTCACTTCTTTGCATCTCCCCTTGCAGCAAGAAGAAGCACAAGGAAAAGAAAAGGAAAAGGGAAGAGGATGCGGCAGAGCAGCTCGATATTGTTGGTGAGCTGCTTTCCAGGAGTTATGTGACAGTGCGGAAGCTGTAGGGGATGTGGCAGAAGCTAACGAGGTCGTTGTAGCACTTCGTAAAGCAAATGTAACCCCCTGTAGGAATACATAACTATTTCTCACAACATGTTTTGGGAGATCTTCCTAGGTTCCAAATGGAACTTGTGACACTAGTAGGATGGATTCCGTTTTTTACAAGTAATTAAAAAATAAGGCATTACTATCTTAATGAGGTAGGAAATATTTGTAAGACAGTGTACAATGAGATAATTTTACTGTTCAAAAAATGTAAAAGTCACAATTCTAAGTTGTGCACATGGGAAGGGCTGCCTTTAATTTTGGTAGAATTCTGTAGGAGTCAAATGTTCAAATCCAGATTGGTTTGAACAACTGAGGTCTAAGGATTACAATTCACATATTTAACAGCAAGATGAAATAGCATCTCTGTTTCTCTTGTGCTGGAGAATCTAATAAATTAGTATGATCCCAAAACTATAGGAGACAGATCCAGCGGGAAAAAAATATTTTTCTTGTGAGATGTATCTTTGCTGCATCAGCTGAATGAATCAGCTTGGTCTGTGGACTAACTCAAAGAAGGGATGAAGCACAGGAGCTTGTAACTAGGGATGACAGCAGGTCAAAGAGCAGGACTTCCTGAAGCCGCAGCAGCAACACCATTAAATTGACTCTGGACCATAAAATAGTGCACAAAGATTGTGAGATAGCTGTCTTTTGAATTTAAAATTTCAGAGAAGACCCAGAAGTATAATCTCTTTGGCTATTGTAATCAGAAGTTGTGATTACTCTGTTAATAAACTGTCATGGTTTTGTATTACAGGAAACTGGTGGGCTGTCAGTAATTTTGGTGAAATTACAGGAACCATAGCTATAGAAATGGATAAAGGAGCTTACATCCATGCCCTCGACAATGGCTTGTTTACACTTGGAGCACCACATAAAGGTTTGTTCCAGGAAATTTGAAAATAATAGAGTTTTAATAATGAAGTGCCTAAAAGCATAGAACTAGCATCACTTCAAGGCAAGCAGTGTTACAGCTAAAACCAGTTTACTACAAAAAATGCAATAATTCTAGCTGAAGCATGCAGATGACTTAAACCTAATGACTGCCAATCAGTTTCACTCATCTAGTTTCATGCTGGCTTATGTGTGCAATAAATTGAACTGCACTGAAGATGATTACCTGTTAAAGGCCATACCACTTGCTGGATAAAAAGCAGTATAATTTTTATTAAAACCTATAAAATGTTTATGGTGTCACTTGGAGAGTGAAATTCAAGGTAGATGAGTTTTAGTGCTTATTGCTGCATCCTTGTCTTAATATACTTGTTTTGTCACTGCATAAGAGGAGGACTACTAATGTGCTGGGATAATTAGCTTGGTCTTTAAATTTGAGGGCAATGACTCTGACATAGACAGTTCCAGAACCCTGACAGTCTGTGTGTTTCATCTCCAGACAGAGATCAGAGCAATAATGGCCATATTCTCTTGTTTTGGTTTTGAGGGATGGAGAAGCCAGTAGCTTTTAGGGTACTAAGTTGAGTTACCATAGCTGAGTTGAGTTACCATTACCATAATGCATTTTGTTATCAAAGAAATAACATTACAAGGAGATTACGGTTTTCAGAGCCACCAGGAGAAATACAAAACATTCTTAATAATAAATTTATTTAAATTATGATCATCTTTATTTTGTATCTTAAGCACTGTAAATACATGAACATAAATGAGCACCTGCATTGCTTTTTTTAAAATATACTTTTTGAATACTCAAAAAGGAATTTTTAATGAAATACTTTCCATAGTATTTAGAAATAGTCAATGTTTAATTCTTTTTGATACTGCAATATTTTAGTGGGCTAATATATTTTATGTTTATACTTCATACTTAACTAATGGAAAATTCATTCCTCAGGTGATGAAGGCCCTAGTCCTCCTGAGCAGTTTACAGCAGTAAAGTTATCTGATACAAGGTAATTACTGTAATGTTTCAAGTTTTGATACTTGTTATCTTTGGATTTTGTGAGAAGGCATTTCAATACTCTTTTGAAATACATTGTCTGCTACTAAAAGCATCTATGGTGTTTTGGGTGTTGTGAATTGCATTAATTAAAAGCACTATTGTTTTCTACATTTTCTCTTTGAGGATTGCTCTCAAGTCTGGTTATGGCAAATACCTTGGTATAAATTCAGACGGGCTTGTTGTTGGACGTTCCGATGCAATAGGATCAAGAGAGCAGTGGGAACCTGTCTTCCAAGATGTAAGCTGTTTGGAGTAGTTTATTTGATGTTGCTAGTGTTTGACTGTATTTTGAGTTAATCTATGTAGATGTTTGTTTTTTTATTGTGAAGTAAAAGCTTTTTGCCATCTCTTTCATATTGTGACTTACGATTTTCCAATTGCAGTGCATTTACTGTAATTGATAGTTTTTAAATACTTCAATAGCTGCATTTTGGCAGCTATAAGCATCTTAAAAATGATGGAGTCAGCAAGTCTGGCAAGCTATTGCTAGCTATTGAAGTATCCATACAAAAAAGAATTATTTACAGAGACATTTGGTATATTGTAGAGGATAAATTGTTACAAATCAAGGATTATGTACAACCTCATTATACTTACGATGTGTGATATTGTTTCTGCAGAGGAAAATGGCATTACTAGCAGCAAACAGCCGTTTTATTAGGTGTAATGAAGAGGGGGACATAGAAGCCAAAAGCAAAACTGCAGGGGAAGAAGAAATGATAAAGGTAATCTATAACTTCTACAATTAATACAGGATTGGCAGGAGTCAAACTCAAAAAGCAGGTGTCTGAGTACTATGATTTTCTGTTAATACAGTTACAATTGCTTCCTATAAGCTGTCAAGTGGTCTGGCCACAAGAAAAGTAAAAGAGTTCCAGGGCTGCATTAATTCTCACTACCTCCTATGGAGATAAAAAGACAGGAGGACACTCAGGAGGACAAAAGAGTCTATGTGATCTTCCAGGTACTTCTAAACAGCTTAGGACAGAAGAGAGAAATTATGACCAAGTCAGGGACAGGGAAGGGTTTACCAGAATGATCCAGAAGGGGAGATATTTTAGGAGAATCTGAAAAGACTATCTTGACTTTATCTGAACATGGGAAATATATCTCTACTCTCCAAGCAGAGATAGGTATCTTAACTAGTCAGAGCAATAGTATTTTAAGTCAATCTCTGAATTGTTCCTGCCAAAATTAAGAACTGTAATAGTGCTTCCTTGAGATAAAGGCAGTCATGTCTTATCATAGTATCAAGTGTGCACTTAACATTTCCCATAGTTCAGGCAGCTCTTACTTTTGCAGTTGTTTCTGGTTAACCAGTTTGAACACTGTGAACTTGAAAAGTCACTGTGACTCTCATTCTGTTACAAAGGATATGTAGTCATCTTTCACCCATAATTTACTGGTTTTAAAATACAGGTGTTTTCTGTTGTGTTTTGGTTGGTTTTTTTGTTTTTCTTTCAATTATAGATTCGTACTTGTGCTGAAAGAGAAGCTAAGAAGAAAGATGATGTTCCACAAGAAGACAAAGGAAACGTTAAACAGTGTGAAATCAATTACGTGTATGTACTTTAGAGCTGGTAACAGGCTCAAGTACCATTTTTTGCTTCTGACTGGGGTATCTTTGGGCCCAACTCCCATCCAGCCTTTCACCCACGTTTCATTAGCAGGACAAGGAAAGAAAATAGGGTGAGATAGCTCATTGGTTGAGATAAAGGAGAGCTGCTGTACCAGATACTGTCCCAGGGTTAACTGTGAAAAATTACTTAAATTTATTTCCTTTTAAATGGGTGTAGATTCTGAGAGACAAAACTTAAAAACACCACCTTTCCTACTCCTATCTCTCAAGCTCAGCTTCTCTCCAGACTGTTCTACCCACCCCTCCAAGCCAGATGGGCTATAGGTCAATATACAGTGGTTTCTTTCAGCCACTCCCTTCCTTTCCTGCTTTTCCCCTTCTTTGGTACAGTCTTATTCATGGGCTGAATGGTAATATTTTCTCCAGTGCCTAAAGCATCTCCTTCCTCTCCTTCTCTGTGCACTGTCATTTTGCACTTTTAGGTTTTTGGAATTTTTTTTCCCTTGTTTGCCTGTGTGGCATTTTGTCTTATCTTAAATACGTTTTCACAGGAGTGTCACCAGCTTTGCTGGTGGATTTGACTGTGTCGTGTAGTGGATGTCTTGAGAGCCAGCTCTGTCCAGCACAGGTCAGCCCCTGGCCTTTTCTCACAGAGAAAAGCACTGCAGCTTCCCTACAGTCAGCACTGTATCCAGCACACTTTTGCTCCCTGTTTTCTTATGCTAGTAGTTGGAGAAGGGGCTCTTTAGAATTTGTACCCTCTTCAGCTGCTGCAGCTTCCCTACAGTCAGCACCATATCCACAGTACACTTTTGCTCCCTGATTTCTTGTGCTAGTAGTTGGAGAAGGGGCTCTTTAGAATTTGTACCCTCTTCAGCTAGACACAGAGGGGTCATTCCTATTTAAACTGCCAAAAAAAACCAAAACCTGAGGTGAGTTTTCACCTACAGAAGCCTTAGTGCAACCTTACTACTGGCCTCTTCAGCTAGTCACAGAGGGGACATTCCTACTGAGACTGCCAAAAATAACCAAAACCTGAATAGTTTTCACCTACAGAAGCCTTAGTGCAACCTTACTACTGGGATGGTTTGCTGGATTTTATTAGGTCAGTTATCTGCTGCTTTAGTAGGACCTAAGATTCTTACCACAGCTGCTGTTATGTTGGAAAATAAAAATTTTAAAAAGCTTCAGTTCTTTACTCCTTCCCCCTTTTCTTCTTTCTTGCAGGAAGAAGTTCCAAAGTTTTCAAGACAAAAAGCTTAAAATAAGCAAAGAAGATACAAAAGCCCTTAGAAAAGCCAGAAAAGAAGGCACTTTTCATGAAATGCTGCTTGACAGGTACTTCAAAGTGCTAGAAATAATGTATTGATGAAAAAACTACTGGGAGATGGAATTACAGTAAAAGCTGGGGTACAAAAGAGGGCTAGATTTCAGGGGGATAGGTTCCTGAGCATTTTCCTCTTCTGAGTGCTGTGCCTGAGTCCTGGGGGTTGCCACCTTTTCTTTTTTTTTTCTTTTTTTTTCACTTCAGTTAAAGAAGTTTGCAAGTTTGAATTTACTTGTAAATTAGTTCTTTGGAAAATCTTTAACTAGGTTGTTCAGTTTGTTTAGTATGGAGTTGTTGAGGGATTAATCTTTTTAATTGTGAAAATTGAGCTGATTTTTAATATTTTTCAATGCCTATGGTACCAGAATATTTTGGAGAGGCAGAAGTTGCATTTTAAAGAGAAATAGTGTTTATTAAGGACAGTCTTCATGTTATCTAGTGGGAATTTTTTTTCCCCTAAAAAGAAACCATGTTGAATTTTAAAGCTTTTTATGTCAGTATATAGTATAAATATTTGCATTAATTCAGTGGGTGGAATGCAAAAAACTATTTCTGATAATTGCAAGTGATGAGAGAACACTCCTGGGCTCTCACAGGTGGTCAGCTTCAGATCATGCTGAATCTGAATTCCATTCCTCAGGGGAGACAAAATGCAATTGCGATGATTTGAAGGGAAAGTCAACCTTGACTTTAGACACTGCAGTTCTACCTCCTTAGGAAAACAAAATTAATTAACAAATCCAAAGTGTTGTTAGGCCTTTAAATGTACTTTGAAGCAAAGTTTAAGAGAAATTGCTTTCAATGCATTCTTAACACTTTGAGGCAGATAAAACACCCAGCTGTAATTGTATTTGGTCTTAATGTAAATCTTGTTTCATTCACTCTTCCCATACAGGAGAGCTAAAGTGAAGGCAGATAGATACTGCAAGTGACATCCAGCTGGCCCATTTTCTTCTGCAACTTTGATGGCAGCGTCAAATTGAAGAAGGTAAAATATTTTATAGATGGTTTTTTATTTAAGGCATTTTTTAAGTATCTTCAGGAACTGTATTAAAATTTTCTCAAATATTAATAACCCATTTATCACTTGTGAATACTTGGCTTGTATTAAGGGAACAGCTCCAGCAAAAATTAAAGGTATATAAATTAACAATGGTAAGCTATTTGCCATGTAGCTTAAGCCCTAGGAGACAGACTGTACACTGATTTAGTCCAGAGAGAAAGCTCCCTGGCTTTTAGTTTCCTTTAGGACAAAATTTAGAAATAAATAAATGATTGTATGCAAATATTCCTGGCCAGAGTCAGGAATTCTGGGATAAAAATGCAGCATAGCTGTGAGGTATGCTGTGGAAGAGAGGGAGAAAAAACATTACTGATTTTTCTACAGAGGTCCTTAGTTTGGCCTAGGACTGGGGATTAGGGCTCATTGACTAGTTGTTGTAGATACCACACTACACATCACTCTCCAGAAATGTGACTTACGTACAAGGAGGCATTAGAATATCACAGTGCTGCTGTGGCTTGCTGCCAAAACTGCACTCAGAAACACCGAGAAAAAGCACTGCAAGGAGCAAGCTGCAGGCCAGAGTAACTGTTTATTGGAAGGTCATTGCAGGTGTCATCAATCCACAGTCACTGTGAATCTTAAATACATCTGAAGTGAATGCTGATGGTGGAAGTAGATTGATATTACAGCATCTATTTTCCTTTCAAGAATATATTGTTTGAACAAAAACTTGCCTCGTAGAACCCACATGAATGATTACTCTGATACACCTGGAAGCAGAATATATGCTCTGGTGGGGAAGGATGCTGAAAGGACTACTCAGCAGCAGAATAAGCACCTGAGAATTACCCCTGAAAGGGATTTTTCCATTTTACATTAGTGTAAATAGGAGAATGCAGTGTGTTGCAAGTAGCTATAAGTGATAGTAAGTGACAAGTGGAACTGAGAGGTGTGTTTGTCACAGGGAGGTGAGTAAATGAAGTAAAAAGCAATGGCAGAACAAATGAAATGAGACTGTCCCTGGTAGGAGAGGAAGTACTAGAACTAGCAAGGGACTGGCAGCCTTGCAGAGAATAAGGGTATTTTAGTAATGATGGGGTTGCCCTGTATGTTGGGACTAATGATACTCTAGAGTCTTGAGAAAATGTGTTCTGAGATAGCACAGAATCAGGGATCTGGGGAATTCACTGGAAATCCAGTCTCAAGAAAATGAAATCAAAGGTATAACAAAACAGTGAAGATCAGTGTTGGTATTTAACTGTTGCTATGGAGGAGTCTTTCTGGATGTTTTCCCAATGGAGGTATTCATGAAGTAATCTTGAAGATACCACATCCTGGCAGTAGTATTAGCAAAAGGAGCTTTAATTTAACTGAAACAGAAAAAAAGGGGGAAGTAATTTGGGCAGCCTCTACTTAGGGGGGGAAGGAACAGATCTGGAGAGTGGTAATACAGTGCTGGGTAGATGAGTATGAGGGAGCAGAAGGGTGGATGTAATTGGTAAGTATCAGTGAGACCAGCTGTCAGTACAGTTAGCAAGCTAACTGCATGTCTTAAACATTTTCCTTAGATTTTTGAAAACTGACAGAAGAAACCTGGACTAAATGGAGGGCCTAAAGTGCTGGTGTGGACCCTGAAGGCAAGGCATTGTGACAGGAACACAGCAGAATAGCCGTAGTCAGAGAAGTGACTGGTGCTGGAAGATAACTATTTCTTAAACTGAGAATTTCTTTACCAATGAAAGAACTAAACCAGAATCACAAAGAGGCCTCAAAAAAGTACAGTGTAATATGACAATGACGTAATTTTGTCTTCAGAGTATTTGGAAAGAGTTTTTAATTTTCCTAAGTCATTGTTTATTTTCTCCTGTTAAAAATGTACTAAAGGTGGTAAAGTATCTAAACAAAGATAATGAAGTCCCTAACAGCTGTCTGCTCCAGATATAAAAGATGACCAAAAGGGGTTGCAGGTGTTCAGAAAGTATCAGGACCAACTTAATCAGACTCTTTCTTACCGTAGCCCATAATAGATTATTCAGATATCTGGAAGTAGGATTATTGTCTTATATGTATTTGTTTTCAACTGAAAATATTTTCCAGACCCTCTAGGAACTGCCTGATGTCCTGTTTTTAAAAAACACTCCCTTGAAAATCTCAAGGTGTACTGTAATTTTCCTCAGTTTCTAAATCCACAGATTGGTTCTGTATTTTCTTTCACCAGTGCTTAAATGTTTTATGCCTTGGTCTCTAAAGCTCCATGCAATTCCCAGCACCTGCTCTGAGCTGGCTCCTTACTACTCTGCTGCATGCTCTCCTCCCAAGGCTTTCCCACGCTACAGTACATCTTTTATCCTTCCTTGTTTCTTAATTTGTGCAGTTCCATACAGCTTTCCAATCAACTGTCTGCCAAGGACTTCTCTTCTTTTTCGTGCCACCCCCACCTGGTTTTGTAAGAGAGTTAATTGCACAGGCAGTTAAGTCACGATCTAGAGACTGCATCACTTCTTTTCTGTGTGCCTAAAAACACATGGCATGGCTCAGGCACTGCACAGAGCACATGAGACAAGCTAAAACACAGGCATCCTGGAAAGTTTTGAGTACTTTTTCATGGTGCTTCCACCAACTGTTGCAAATGTACACACTCATGAAGCATTCATTTGCTAGCACTGAAATACTCATACTAAAATGACAGGACAAACCTAATGTGGCTGCTGATTTGTACTTGATGTTACAACAGCCTGGTCTAGTGGAAGGTGAAGCATTCATTTGCTGACACTGAAATGATAACGCTCGTACTAAAATGACAGGACAAACCTAATAGGGCTGCTGATTTGTACTTGATGTTACAACAGCCTGGTCTAGTGGAAGGTGGCCCTGCCCATAGCAGGGGGCTTGGAACTATATGATCTTTAAGGTCCCTTGCGACTCACACCATTCTCCAGTTCTATGAAATACATACCATTTAAATAATAATTAGAAGGCAGAGCACTTATAGATGGATGCATCTTGGACCCTGTGTTTCTCATTAGTCTGTCTCCCCAGTTGCCCACTTCCTGCACTCCTAAGGTGCAAGATGGAGAAAAAGCCTTCCTCAAGAACATGCCTGCCTGGCATCTTTCACTACTACAGATGCTTGAAAGATAGGTTGGAAATAAATCTCCATAGACTGATGTCTGCAGAGCAGGTATTTATTGCAGTGCTGGTGGTCAGGGGGATATCTCCTCCTAACTCACCCACCCTTGTCAAGTGCTGTGGTATATTTATACAGTAAGTATTACAGAGCAGGTATTTGTTGCAGTGCTGGTGGCCAGGGGGATATCTCCTCCTAAATCACCCACCCTTGTCAAGTGCTGTGGTATATTTAATTGCTTAGTATTGCTATGGCACTACAACATCATCACATATGGGCTGGAACTAATTTACTTGGTATGATCTGATGGTTATTAGATCATTCTTTTGCACTGTGCTTGTATCTCCCCAATTCGGGGGTCATCAGGGGTCTTTATGAAGGCCTCCAAGGCCTTCTTCACGTCTGAACTTTTCAACTTTGTCTTCAGAGCACACGTAGTTATATGGCATTCCTTGGTCTGTCTGGTCCCAATCAGTCTAAATTCTTCATTTTGTGGCTAATTGGCTTTACATTTGCCAGTTTTGTATTATACTTACCAATGTTTAAAGCCATCCACCTGGTGAGTTTTTTCTTCTTTTTTTTTGCCTATTCAGCATTAAACAACTAGTTAACCACGTACCAGCCATTACATTGTCTAGGAAAGTATTTATATCAGATTATATAGGTATAAAAGCTATGATCCAGGTTATATCAGATTATATTGATATCTTATAACTCAAGCTATATAAGCACCTTGTAACTTTGACCTAAGTTATATAGGCATCACCACACCGCCTACCTCAAATCTGCGCAGGACACAGAGTAATTAAAAATCGCACTACTGCCAACGTGAAAACTGGTGCCACGGGTTTTTCCCCAGCGTTGCTAAAGTGAGGCGATTCTATTTCAGACTCTCCTGTGCGGAAGTTGCCTTTTGTGGAAGGGCGACTGAAAATGAACTGCTGCGCTTCATCATAACCGCACGGGCGGTGCCGTGCCGGGCCGGGCTGGGCCGGGCCGGGCCGGGCCGGGCGGCCGCTCCCGGGCGG